TCTCTGCTCCATGGTGATAAGTATTTGTGGAAAGAACTGGACAGATAAGTAAGAAAGCACCATCTGCTTGTAGAAAAATTGTGCCACATTGTACTTCATTTGCCTTTGCTCTTGTTTTCAGATGGCCTCTAGCCTACCCTTTCTCCACTGTACAATTGAGCTTCCTGAGCCAGATTCAAAAACTGGAAAAACTGTTAAAAGGAAGCATTCAGTGAGCAGAAACCTCCTGCCGATTCTAGTACGGTTTTAAAAACGCAAACAATGGAGCCTGAGTTCAAAGAGTGCAAACTTGGGTAGATCATGAAAAATGGCTTTCCTAAATGACCTCACGGAACAATATTTAAAAAAAAAAATCAAAAAAAAGATATACATGTAACTTCTAACTCATTCAGAGGCAGGAGTAGGTTCACGCAGACCACTTTTCCCTGCAGGTTCAGTAAGGATGCTGCTGGGAATTAATTAAATTTTTAATTATTTAAATTCCTTTAAATATAGACTCATAGCACCATAGAATCATTTAGGTTGGAAAAGACCCTTAAGACCGTGAAGTCCAACTGTTAACCTAGCAGTGCCAACTCCACCACTAAACCATGTCCTTAAGCACCACATCTACATGTCTGTTAAATACCTCCAGGGATGGTGACTCAACCACTTCCCTGGGCAGCCTGCCCCAACGCTTGATCACCCTTTCGGCGAACAAATTTTTCATAATATCCAACCTGAACTCTAAACTTCCCCTGGTGCAACTTGAGGCCGTTTCCTCTCATTCTATCACTTGTTCCCTGGGACAAGAGCCCAACACCCACCTCGCTACAGCTTCCTTTCAGGTAGTTGTAGAGAGCGAGAAGGTCTCCCCTCATCCTCCTTTTCTCCAGACTAAACAATCCCAGTTCCCTCAGCTGCTCCTCAGAGGACTTGTGCTCTAGACTCTTCACCAGCTTCATTGTTCTTCTTTGGATGTGCTCCAGCACCTCAATGTCCTTCTTGTAGTGAGGGGCCCAAAACTGAACACAGTACTTGAGGTGTGGCCTCACCAGTGCTGAGTACAGAAGGACGATCACCTCCCTACTCCTGCTGGCCACACTATTCCTGATACAAGACAGGAAGCCATTGGCCTTCTTGGCCACCTGGGCACACTGCTGGCTCATGTTCAGCTGGCTGTCAACCAGCATCCCCAGGTTCTTTTCCTCCATGCAGCTTTCCAGCCAGTCTTCCCCAAGCCTGTAGCGTTGCATGGGGTTGTTGTGATCCAAGTGCAGGACTTGACACTTGGCCATGTTGAGTCTCATACAGCTGGCCTCAGCCCGTTGGTCCAGTCTGTCCAGATCCCTCTGCAGAGCCTTCCTACCCTCAAGCAGATCGACACTCCCCCTCAACTTGGTGTCATCTGCAAACTTACCGAGGGAGCACTCAATCCCCTCAGCCAGATCCTTGATAAAGATATTATATGGAACTGGCCTCACTACTGAGCCCCGGGAAACACCACTTGTGACCAGCCACCAAGTGGATTCAACTCCCTTCACCATAACTGTTTGGGTCCAGCCATCCAGCCAGTTTTTTACCCAGCAAAGAGTACACCCATCCAAGCCATGAGCAGCCAGTTTCTCCAGGAGGATGCTGTGGGAAACAGTGTCAAAGGCTTTATTAAAGTCCAGGTAAACACCATCCACAGTCTTTCCGTCATCCACTAAGTGGGTCACCTGGTCATAGAAGGAGGCCAGGTTAGTCAATCAGGACCTGCCTTTCATAAACCCATGCTGCCTGGAGTTGATCACCTGATTGTCCTGATATGACTATGATTAAACTCAGTCATATGATGATGTTAAACTCACAAGAATGTATACTAAATGCTAACTCAAAGAAAACAACATCACTGTAAAATGATCCAGGGAGAAAAGTTCTCCTACTGCAAAAAGGCAAGTCATGCTTCAGGGTGTTGCCTGTAATACTAGTCCCTAGGCCAAATCAGGCTCCATGGTAAATGGCTAAATCTCCACTCAGAATTCATTAATGTCTTACAAATAACAAGAAAAAAACAACATAATGCAGTTAAAATTCAATGGAAGGGCTTAGTGGCAGCAAAAGGCTTAAAATAAACCCCTTCTTAACGTAGACTAATGCTTATGTAACTCTTGTTTGTAGTAGTTTTGTGTGTTTGTTTTTGCATTCTTTTTTATTTTGGTGAAGAGGCTGAGACCTGACCAGAATGTTTTATTGATGTAAAATACGTTTAACAACTGGACATCACAAAGCAGGAGTGATGCCAAAGCTAATGTATACTTTGCACAATAAAAGTATTTTAGCTGTTTCCCCTGCTTGGCCTGTCATATTGTAGCTGTGTATGATGAGCTTTACCAGCTCCACTGTGGTTTGAAAAATATATCTAACCTAGGAAAATAAACCCCCACGCTAGAGCACGTGCTGTGGCATAGTGGGACAATATAGTCCCAGACTGTCTCCCAAAAGCAGCTCAGCAGCTGTTGTCTTGGTATAATTAATTTAAGCAGCAGACAACTCTATTTCAACTCAAAGTAGAAGTTCCTTGGTAAGCTGATGCTCAAGCCCTAATTTCACAAGGGCTATGCCAGACAGTCTGGACTCCTCCCATCCAGCTAGTGAAATCCCTTTTGTCCTGGTGGTCTTCGGTAAGTTTTTCCAGTCTCCCATCATTCGTCTAGCAACAAGAGTAGACCCTTTCCTACGTACGGGATAGGAGTAAGCTGATCGTGTGTGGTGGAGCAGATTTACACTCCCTCTCCCTGTCACGAACACGGCATGTGATCCTGAATCATTGGTGTTACACTGTCTCTGCCGGGAAAGAGGAAGAGATACAACCCTGACCCAAGCCTTACTGCTAACAAATACCCTTCAGGGCAGATTAAGCTTTCATTTACTCCCGTGTAATTCCGCTGACTGCTAAGATGAGCTCTGTCAGTGAGGATTCACCAAGATTACTATGCACCAAACTTCATACCATTTTTTCCATGACTTTTCAGGTGTGACTACATTTGAACCATCCGTCTTGAGTATTAGGTGATTGGCAAGAAGACACTTGCAGCTTGTTCACTTTTAATTCTGAGGTCAAGAAAGCTAGTTCAACTTTCTACCCCCTCTCCCCCCTTTTGTTTTAACTTAAGAAGGCCAGTCCTCCTAGGAACAACTGAACAAGTACAGACATTTATGCCTGCTGTTATTGCTTCAGAAGAGAGCAGTGTTTGGTTTGACGGCAAACATCTAGCTCAACACATGTTCTTAGAGCCTGAAATGAAACTTACGCCAGTCTGTCCAAGCTTGTTTTCTCAAGAATAACTCTTGCTGCCTAGATTGAAGTACTTGCTGCAAAACATAAACTGGTGCTTTATTCATGGTGTTCCAGGAAGAAAACACTATTTCCCTGAATCCTTCCAAAATATTTGCTGAAACCCTGAGCCACTACTAAATAACCCTTAATAAACCTCCAAGAGCTATTTTCCCAGGTCATCATAGAATTGTTTGGGTTGGGAAGGACCTTAAAGATCATCTTGTTCCAATCCCCCTGCCATGGGCAGGGACACCTTCCACTAGACCAGGTTGCTCAAAGTCCCATCCAGCCTGGCCTTGAACACTGCCACGGGGGGGGGGCATCCACAGCTTCTCTGGGCAACCTGTTCCAGTGCCTCACCAGCTGCATAGTAAAGAATTTCTTCCTTATATCTAATCTAAATCTACCCTCTTTCAATTTAAAACTATTACCCCTTGTTCTATCACTACATGCCTTTTTAAAATGTCCCTCTCCAGCTTTCTTGTAGGCTCCCCTTACGTACTGAAAGGCCTCAATAAGGTCTTCCCGGAGCCTTCCTTTCTCCAGGCTGAACAGCCCCAACTCTCTCAGCCTTTGCTTGAAGAGCTGGAGAGTGTAAAGCCTCTATTTTGCACTTGAGAACCTCAAAACTTGATATGTCTTTCCAGACCTGTTTTAGGTCTATAGACCTCAGTCTGTTGTTGTAGAGGAAGATTTGGTTTCCTTTTTCTAAAATCTTGTCCTAATCCGGCATAAGACCAGATCTCAAAATATGTATTTTCTTGATAATAAAAAATTTGGGCTTTACCCATTTCTCATATTTAAGGAGACAGCCTTAACATTTAAGGAAACATTATCTTTTATTTGTAGTAGTGTTTTTAGTACTTTCTCCAAGTACATTTTAAAATTTGTATATAAAAAGGGAGTCTATTTCTAAAGAGTTCTCAGGCATTGAGAAAGTTAGAGGCATGGCTTTTAAAGTCCTGCATTCACGTGCATATCACTTACTCAAATATAAACCAGAGTAAAAAACACTTTTTCCTCTAAACACTGCCAATTCTATGAAACCAAAGTTTTTTTGGGGGAATGCATAATTTTCAGACTAATTTTCAGTGGCACTTGTTCAGCTCTCATTAGAACCAAGTTGGAAAAGATTCTTTTGACCTCAGCATTCTGACTATGTTACAATAAAATGTTGAAATGAAATATTTTGGGAAGATGAAGCAAAATATTCTGGGATACTTTATTTTCCAAATAAATCCTCATTTTTAAACTTTTTTCCTGAACTGGAATTGGATAAGGTATTAAAATCTGCATTTTCCTGCAAATCGAAACTTTGTTCATCAGCCATCCCTCCTACTTAAGTAGACAGCCATGATCTTTGGGGAAACTGAATTTTCCAGCTCAAGACCAATAGTTTAGTGCATGAAACTGTTGGGATGTGTCCAGTGAATTAATTCTGTTTACATCTCTGCTGTTTGAGAGATAACTGCACAAAATGCCTTAAAGACTACACCTTTAGAAGGACAAACCATTGCTATTTCAGAGACTTCTTCAGAGCGCTAAATACACAGTGTTTGTGAAATATGGGAAGCAATGGACTATGTATCAGATTCTCCAGTTATATACGATGGAAGTAATCCAGACTTTCCTCTCACTTTTGGCATCTTGTGCCATAACTTTATACTTGATTTTCATTTTTTGTTCTAGTGCCAACAATATGCCTAAGCAAGTAGAAGTGCGGATGCATGAAAGTCATTTAAGTCCAGTGGAGCACAGATCCAGGAACATATGTGTGCAGTTCTGCCAGTCGCTCCACAGGAATCTGCTCCTGACTCTTACAGTATTCGGTAAGCTGCATCTGCTGGTCTGGACGTTCTGTTTGTATCTGTATTTGTTCACGTGGTGCCACAGACCCTGTCTGTGGCCATCAGCTGTTTCAGCTGAACAGCTAGAGAGTAAATAGGACGCCCACGGGCTTTGTCGCTTTAGTTCATGTGCGCAGGGTGTTACTGACACAACACAGAGCAGATCCACACTGCTGAGATACATTCTATACCTGGTTTTGGATGGGGTGTGATCTAAGTCCCAAGGCCAGTCAGATCAATGTCATTCGGTAGAACTAAATGCACTACGCATTTTTTCTCTCAGTTACTTGAAAAAAAGACAAAAACACTTCAAAATTTCCTTGCCTGCATCAGTTGATGCTCTGCTACCTTTAAGGTTTGTCCCCCTCTCCGTAGCTGTAAGCCAGCGCTCCATGATCGCATCCTGAATATTGCCTCTGGCTTTAGCAGCTTCCGAACATGGAACAGTTTGACATTTTATTGTGGTTCACTGGCTCTTTGCCTGTAGCTTTTTCACTGAAAGCCCAACAGCTAGATGCAGCAAATTCATAGACATACTCTATTTTGTTATTGTTTGAAAGACCAACTGCAGCTGGTCTTGAGCTGCAAATTCCACATCAATAGTTTTCAGCCTTCAAAACCCAGACTGCTGAAGTGTTTAGACAGTATTTGCATTGAATCAGCTTTAGAAGGTGCCCGATGTGGTTCCAGAAAAAGTTTTAAATACACATATATTTTCCATTGTGTCAAACTGATACTTCAAAGAGTCATAGTTGCTGCAAATCACAACTCAGGCTTTGCTGTCAAGTTTTATTACACTGGAGACACGGGCTTGGGATCAGGAAAACAAAGGCATCCTGGATATCCATTCACAAAGATCAGGTTATGAAAGTAAACATGGCCTTTTTTTTCCCCAGATAATGCTTTAGCAGCGTCAGTCCTGAGGGAGGTTTAGGTGCTATCACTGTACAAATCTAAGTAAGTGATGAAGAGATTGTTTGTGGTTTGAGCACGTTAGCACAAAGAGAAGAGAAGGATGCAGACCATCAAAAGGAAAGAGTAAGAATTAGGTACAGAGAATCAAGTTTTCTTCAATGATATGTGCAGTATTCCAGATCAGGCACTCCCTTCCAAAGCCCCCCAAATGAAACTTGAATCTGTTTTCCTCACAAGACTGTTCTAGTTTTCGTGCAGGTTTTTCTTAGGCTGTATAATTGCTGCTCATACTGACCTTGTTTTCAAGTGCTACCATTCTTATGTTGAGAGCTGGATGTCATACTCCAAAGAGCTGGGTCCTAACCTTGGGTCTTCTGTCAGTTCTGTGTGGCCTTATATAAATCACTGCACCTCTTAGTGCTTCAATTTGGCCAACAGTAGAATGATGATATGAATTGTATTTGACTATCCTTCAATGTTTTGCAAGGCCTACACAGTATTAGTAAACCTCAATAATATTGTGGTTTGCAGCAAGCTTGTATTTGCAGAGGCAGAGTAGTACATCAGGTGCAAGCTCAGATGGCAGAAGATTCTACGTCAAGACCACTTCTCTTTAATCATGAGATACATGGGAAGCATGTTACAGCCTCGTATTAATCAGAAGACTAAGCCTTCCAAAATCTGTCTCTGTACCAAAAATCAGCTGCCTTGTGTAACGGTTTTTCTTCTAGGCTGTTCTTCTGGCTAATCAATGTGTATTCATGCATATTTATGTTATGTATCTGCTCTTTTTTATTCTTCTTCCAGGTGTCATCCTAGGTGCACTGTGTGGGGGTCTTCTTCGTCTAGCAACACCTATTGACCCTGACATTGTCATGTTAATAGCCTTCCCAGGAGATATACTTATGAGGATGCTAAAAATGCTGATCCTCCCTTTAATTATCTCCAGTTTAATCACAGGTAGGATCTATTAGCCATAAATACTTTAAGATGCTTGCAACAGATATCACCTGGTTTGCTTCTTGTGATGTAGGAAGAATCCTGTAGGTGTGTGATCCTGTCAGGGATTTTGCAGTTGCAGTATGTATTTCAGAGTTCGTTTCTGATTAACCTCATTGGCTTTAATATGGAGATGCTTCCATGAATTTATTTTCAAACACATCCACACATGCTACCTGCTTGAATATCAGAAATTTCTTAATATGCTGTTTCACCTAATTCCTGGATTGGACCTTGCAAATAAGATGGCTCAATACTAGCAAGGCTAGCCTGTTTAAAGCTATGGTGTCAGCCAGACCACAACCAGTTTGCAGGAATCAAGGGCAAAAGATGGTATGATATCGTCTCTATTTTTTAATGCCTCCTCTGTGATTAGATGGAATCTTAAGTGGTTCTCTGCAATTTAGTAGCAACAGACATTGTTCACATAAAATCTGGAGGGAGAAGCTTCAGTAACCTATCTAATCGTGAGAATTTCACAAGGACAAAAGCAGGCACTGGTAGGCATTCATTTAACTTTGCAAATTATAAAGGATTTTATTTCATGATTATTGAATTGGATATTGAGTCTCAATGTATTTGTTTGTTTCTTAAAATAAAACACCTGCAGGACTGTCTGGTTTAGATGCGAAAGCAAGTGGCCGACTGGGTACAAGAGCCATGGTCTACTACATGTCCACCACTATTATTGCTGCTGTGCTGGGCGTGATTTTGGTTTTAGCCATTCACCCAGGGAATCCAAAACTCAAGAAACAGCTTGGTCAAGGGAAAAAGAATGATGAAGTGTCTAGTCTGGATGCTTTCTTGGATCTGATCCGAAACCTGTTCCCTGAAAATCTAGTCCAAGCATGCTTTCAGCAGGTAAATCCTCCTATTCCTTGGTAATATTTTTCACATATTTTACTGATCAGGGATGTCTGTAGAGTTAATGTCATTGTTTAGGTGAATGACAGAAATGGTGATGCAAAGAGAAATAGAGGTCTTAAGTCTGGAGCAGGCAAGTGAAACAACTTTATTTATAGCTGCTTTGTTTTATGTTGTAGTTATTACTTAAATTCATAGGTTTTTTTAAAGATTATGACTTCTAGTTTGTTATTAAGTAAACTGAATTTTTTTCGTCACTTCTTATACATGTGGTCAAGAGTGCTGGCTTGAGGCTGAACATCTGAGGAATTATGGGATCTTTCTCCCAGGCTGAATTTGATCTTGATTGTTAGATACAGATGTGATGGTTCTGCAATGCCCTGTTATTAATATATGGTTGGTCTTCATCCCAGCTCGTTGCCAGTAGAAAGTACCCCAAAACCTAACCTCTCATAGCTTCTATTGCTGTATTAGAGTCCAGCCTGGGTGGGGAAAATAGAGCCAAGTAGCTGACCTACCTCCAGGTGGCTCCATCAGGCCAGCTTTGAAGCATGCTGGGAAAGAAGGATGGCTGCACCATGTGTTGCTTGCTCTGTAGGTAGATAATTTTGTCTAAAAGTTTTTCACCAATGCATAATCAAAACAGCTTCACTGCAAGGGGTAAAATAAATTAAAAATGCATGCTTCCTGATTTATATTTCTTGCATGTAAGCTGCTTTTTCCTACAACTAAATTGTTTGGCAATAATGCAGACATTTTTTTTTGATGGAATGGGGTTTGTTGCCAAACCTGTTCTTAAGTGTTCCTCTGTGAAATGGCACGATAGCTGGAGCTGTGGTTATGGCCAGATAATAAAATGCAGAGAAAAGGGGGAAGGGAGAAGAGGCCATGGGGGGTGGAGGAACGGAGGGCAACCTAAGCTGCCAAAAGGGCTTAGATTGCTTCACTTCTTTGTGGACTTCCACATAAAAACACACAGTCCTTGGGGGTTTAAAGTGAGAACATTCTCAATATTTCCAAATCATCATGGGAATGTCAGTCATGGTCAGACTGTGAGTGGCTAAACATCACATGTGGTGTGAAATGTATTTTTGTGAAATTGAGCGAGGGAAGAGCAGGGTGCTTATGTTTTTTTCTTACTTTCCCTCATCTGAACTGTAAAAGAGAGGAGAAATAGATTTCTGATCCATTGAAAGTGGTCAAATATCTCAACAAAGGGACAAAAAGAGGGAGGAAGAAGGATGAACCTAGTTGTGTCAGTTTTCTTGGAACATTAATATTGCTTTTTCAGTGTGTGCAATACTAGTGTTCTGGTCACTTCAGTCGCTAGGGATCACCAATTCTATGTACTGTTTTTTAAACTTCGTCAAAAAATCTACTGAGCATTTTGGCTTTTCAATCACAGAATCACAGAATGGTCGGGGTTGGAAGGGACCTCTGTCGGTCATCTAGTCCAACCCTCCTGCTGA